GGCCAATCGCCACTTTACCCGGCTGCCGTTATTCTTCACCCGCGCTGGAACGTGTCTTGGCTTGAGGCGAACTGGACTAGCCACGAGCAACTAGTGTGGCTACGGGACGCTAAGAACAGTGTCCGGGAATTCTTTGAACAACAGTATCCACGTAAGGAGCAGTCCGAGACAGCGAGAACCGTGATAGGAAAAGCGATGCGGCAAGACGAGCCCAGTCAATTCGACCAGTGGATGCAGAGTTACGATCGGTATATGATGGAGGAAGAAGATGAGCTTGGAGTTTATATGAGGCAAGGGCCAGTCCGGCGAGAGAACCTGAACCCCATTCTATGGTGGAAGGATCACCAAGAAGAATATCCACGTCTGAGCAAGTTTGCCCTCGACATTCTGGCAATTCCTGCTATGTCTGTCGATCCTGAGCGGACGTTTAGTGTCACAAAGTTGACTGTAAGCTCGCAAAGGCACAGCTTAAGCCCCGAGATAATAGAGGAAATACAGTGCCTACAGAATTGGCTTGGCCATCAAGCGATCACTGTGGGCGAGGTCGTCAGCTTTGGTGGGGACCTGATGGGTTGGGATGGAGGGGAGGCGTGAGAGTACCAATAGCTTCATCCTGGCCTCAGGTCAGCGCTTTCAATTCAAGTATATCAATTCAAATCAAGTTAAGTAAGTTCACGGACGATTTTATTTCAAGTAATCAAGTTACACCCCCGAACTTGACTTACTTGAATTGAAGTCAGCTGTACTGTACAGCTGACACCCTCCGCCTTAGCTGCCAAAAGAGCGGCTTAAGTACACCTACCCCAAGCAATTAATACCACATAGAATAACATAATCTATAACTGAGGTATACTACTTATTCCTTATTTCTTACTCAATTCTTACCATATTAACTTTGATACTAGTATAGCAACATGCCACTGGTAAAAAAGATAAATATACTAAGAACAAAGAGACCTAGGAAGCTTACAGGCTGACTGAATATTTCAGCTGTTAAATAAAGCTGTAAATTTCTCTTAGTCGGTCGACTTTCTTTTTTATAACGCTGTTTAATCTTTGCCTCCTAATATGGATATCTCAAACAGAACTCAAACTCCCTTCAACAGCACATTTAAACATCAAGGCCGGTTTAAGTACGCCGAAAGTCTAGGCGCAAACACTTTCTTCCTCGTTTATAATCTTATAAGATTTTTTAATGGTAGCAACTGCCCCATGAATCTTACCTTGATGTCTATGGGATAGACTGACGAACTTCATTACTCGGAACTTCTTGAGTCCCTTAAAGAAGCGAAACATTTCGATAAAGAATCGGCTGAATACTTTATCGAACAGCCGAGCATCACATTAAATATCTTGGAAGAGCTGAAACGAGATGATCATTCTAAGCTTACTAGCTTTCGAAAAGCTACTTAAACCAGATTCAACGACGCTTAGAACAGCCATCCTGTATTACAACAGAGGAGCCGGAAAGGTTAAGAAATTAGCGATAAATAATGTGACGGAATAAGCAAATCGGTAGCCTTAGCCACATTCTCAATCTGCTAACGGATCTTGGCGGAAAATCCTGTTGGGACTGACTCTTGCGCACATGGCGGCTGGGTCGCACCGCACAACAAATGAGGCTGGCTGAGTGTCATTGATCATTCACGGAATAAATCGCGAGTTTTGATAGCTCCGGCCTAAAATCGCTTCATTCGAGCTGCTGCATAGCAAACTTACGTATCGTTGAAAGGACTAGGCTTATATTCTACATTCACACTACCATCAGTGTAGGTACCCATTACTTTTGCAGATTGTATCTCAACACGTACCATCAGGTGTAGCCCCAGACTGAGGCTTAAGTTTTGGATTGGCAACGGTCGTTTCCTTGGCTTGACCCAAAGCGAAACTAGCGTGTCAAGTGAGGTGCTGGAAAGTATGATAAATAGCTTGTTTTGTACTCAGCAGTCAAACGTGGCATGATACAAGTTTGATAACCGTTTTTAATATCAAGTATATCGGGAATGACTGTGTTCTAGCCTATAACCATGTCTATAAAATAAGATCATTTCTGACAGAGCATCTCCAACACATCGACAAGACACTGTCTATTCTTTTCGGCACGCCCACTCGACCTTGACACTTTGCAACTCTTCTAGAAGCTCGTAGTCAACAGCGCTCCGAACAAAGCAAAACAAAACAAAATTGACCACTATTTTTTTTTTTTTTGAAATAATACAGGCTGATATTGATTTGGTATTGATTTGTATTGAATATTACCAAAATGCTATCAAAGGCTTAGTAAGTCGGGAGACAGCCAACAATCATTGGATCTGTAAGCAACATACGTGCTTCAAATTGCCCCATTTCCCAGCCAAAACTTGAGGCATATGAGCTTCTCGATTGTCAAATCTTTCAGACTGTGCCTCTGCGTTGATACCGCCAATTTGCAATGGCTGAACGTTCTCTCGCACTCACACGAAGTGGCCGGAATTGACAGTATATCGAAGGCCATTTTTGCTAGCCGTGGCAACGAATCCTGGTGCTGCCGCCACCACTCTAACGGGTCCTTCACAGGTAACAACGGCCCCGAGAAGTAGGAAGTAAGCTCATCCTTCTGTGTTAAGTCCTCAGGCTTATCGTAGAAGTCGTCATCGATGAGGTAACATGGCTGGGCCTGATCAACCGGCTGGTTATCTCGAAGGTCAAGCTTGTTGTATTCGTCGTCGAAGAACTTCGTGAAGGTGGAAAACACGTGTTGAGCATGTTCTTCATCAAGGTTCTTCTCAATCCATCGCTTCTTGAGGCCAGGGTGTAGGATCATCGCTGCCCAGTAGGCAGGCGAGTGGTCGAGAGTAGCAATGTATTTCTCAATTTTAAAGATCGCTACTGAAAGACTGGCACGCAAAGCGTGAAGGTTCTTATCGTCAGAGAAAGTAGGATCTTCGGAATTGCCGGATTTGCCAGATTCGCCAGATTCGCCAGATTCGCCAGATTCGCACATAATAGTGGCTCGGATCGTGCCAGGTAACTTCATGGCGGAACCTCCGTATCGCTCCGGGAGTCGTCTTTCGCGCTGCGGTCGCTGCGATTGAGATTCCAGCGGCGTGGTCGGTCGCAGAGCCGGAACTTCGTCACCGATGAATATGGAGCGGCCGGCATATTCAGGGCCGGTTATTTCTTGATTGACGAGCTCGTCGGCGTAGACCTTTTTCTTCTCGTGGAAGTGGTCGAGGAGATAGTATAACGAAGCCGCTACTTCCGCGAAATGAGGCGCCCTGCTTTCAAATAGCTTCGTGAGCCGTTGACAAGGTGTGAGTATTTCAATCGCGATCGCGAGGAAAGACCAGTCGTCGTCATGCAATACGTATTCCGCAGGGAGGCGGCGTTTGGCGTCCCTCTCTTGAAGCGCCCTCCTCTGGAAAACCTCGATCGGATCTTTTAACTTCATCGCTCTCTCTGCAGAGGCGAGGAAAGAGTTCCATCTCGTATCGTTATCTTGCTTTACTATCAACCCGCCAAGGTCGCGAAGGTTCCAGAGGACCTGGCCGAATTCAAGGAGCTCCTCCTCCGTAAGCTTTCCGTAGGTAAGGTCGAGAAACCGCTCTCTCCGCTGCGGAGATCTTCTGATCCAGCTCATCAGGTTGTGTAACCTTTGAATTGCTGACGATTGACGCCAGTCTTCAAGGAATTTGATCTCTTCTAGCAAAGATTTATACTCCTCTGAGTGAGGATCAAGCTTCTTGAGCGCCTCCTTCTTCGAGCCTCCGAGGAATCCGGTTGCGACGAGGTTTATTTGGTGATTAACGCAGCGAATCCTGCGTTGAGCGCTAAGCTCTGCGATTTCGTCAGTGGCAGATTCTGCACCTGAAAGACCGCAAAAGAGCTCCGTAACTGCGCCGTCGCACGAGTCTGCGTTATCAGCAGTCAAGTAGCCGAGAGTCTCGGAGATCGCGAAATCTTCGATTACGCTCTGTAAAACTGGGCCGAGATTCTCACCACCGTGACTGCCGAGTACGCGTTTGAGGGCTAGGAAGCGAGATTGAAGCTGTTGCGAGGCGCTGACGAAGTGAACGGTGATACCGAGGAGCGCGTATTGATTCGGGGAGGTCCAGAGATCGAAAGAGAGATGCTTCTTGTAAGGGGAGGCGGCGAGCTCTGTTTTCAGGAGCCCTTTCTGTGATTCGACCTCGGCGTTGAGCCACGATTTGATAGTATCTCCGCATAGAGGCAGAAGCTCCTGAACAAGATCCTTATTTAACAAGCAGAGAAGCTGGCGAAAAAGCGGGTGTTCGATTCCAGAGAAGGGAATATTCGCCTTCGATATCCAGCCTAACAGTGTATCTCGGAAAGTCTGCCCCGTCGATTTACTCACAACAGCCTTCCGCAGGCTCTCCTGTAGAGTCCTCTGACTCTTCTGTGGGCGCGGATTCGCTTCAGAATCAGTCGAATCGCTTCCCTCTACGGAAGAGGTACGAGAGCGAAGAAGTCTGTGATGCTGCCGCAAGTGGTCCAGCGGTCCAGAAGTCGTACCTCTAGGCAGGGAAAAAATCGTTGTTATACCATGCTCATCACAGAGATCACAGAGCCAGTATTCGCCACAATTTCGGTGCTCGCGATCGAGCTTGACGAAGCGTGAGCCGTACGGTTCGATCGGGGATCTTTTCTTCCGTTTTTTATCCACCCACTCCGACCGAATATAGGGCTTGCTGTTAATTAGGATCTTCGGCATATCGCATACTGCACTTGGGAGGTTTGCTTCGTCGACATCATCAAGTTGGTTCTTTACGCTGCGAGCTCGGCGAAGAACTGAAAAGGCGCCACCACCGGCGTGCGGAATGTTTGTGAGAGCCCCGGAAGACTGACTGGCTGACTGGCTAGGCGTCAGGCTCGATACCGACGAGGAATCGTCGAAAAATGGATCGTTGGGGTTAGCCATCTTGACGATGTTGGCGATGGGCCCATGTGCAAAAATTTGACTGGAAAAGTGGACTATTGGGCCTTGGAAAGCACTTACCCTATGGCCGACTGACAGGGGGGATTTTACCAAAATATACCAAAATTACCAATACAAAACGGTAGGCTAGTATTGTTTTGAATAGCTTCAATTTTGATTTGTTTTGTATTGATTTATATTGATTTGATTTGGTAGTGTTTTGTTTTGTTCGGAGCGCTGGTAGTCAAGCCCAACTTGTCGCATCGCGATCAGAATCATGTCAAATTGCTCCAATGTGTCGGCGTTCCAATCTCTGTCGTCAAGGCGACTGACCTGCGGCACCATTTCCTGAGTAACCATTGTGTCGGCGAAGCTCACGTCTACCTTGGAGGACACGGCCAAAGACTTGATGATGTCGAGGCCGGGCGAGTTGCTGAGCGTTGATTGGCCTGGCTTGAAACCAACTCCGACAACGAGCACGCGTGGCTGAGACTTGCCAAGGCCGGCGTTTTCCAGTGTCTCGATAGCTCGGGCCGCAATATCCGCAGGACGCCGCCACATGGCTTCGGTGGCGGCACTGAGGAGGGGGAATTTGCTGTTTGATAGGAGATAATAAGGGTTGATAGGGATGCAGTGGCCGCCAACTCCAGGACCGGGCATATAAGGCATATACCCAAAGGGTTTAGATGCAGCAGCACCGCAGACCTCGTAGGGATCAATGCCATGGGGAATACATGCGTCAGCCATTTCGTTGGCGTAGGCGATGCACATCATTCGCTGGCAGTTTTCGTAGAGCTTGGTCATCTCAGCGACCTCAGGCTTGGATACTGGGACAACGTGGTTGAACACAGCCGAATAGAGACGCAGGATGCTATCCAGGGAGCCCGGAGCAACGTCATCCAAGCCCGAAACGACCTTGGGGATATCGTAAGCAGGTGGCTCGGTACGTCCAGGGTCGACACGCTAATTCTGTCAGTATTTGTTCTTGATTTTTTGTCCATTTGTCTACGTACCTCTGGAGACATGCCAACGAAGAAGCCGCAGTCTTTTGCAAGTGGCCCAAGAAGTTCTCGGGTCATTCCAATGGCTACTGAGCTTTCAATCACGACTGTCGAGCCCCGTCGCGCATGTGTAGCCACAGTCCGAAGGGCACTACGCAGATATGAGGCGTCAACACTGCGGTCGGGACGAAGCAGCGTAGGCACAGATATCAGGAAATGGGTTGCATCGTCCAAGTCATCGGTGATGCTAGATAGCATGACGCGCTCGTTTCCTTTGAACATTGGCTGAACTTCGGAAATGCGTTTGTCGGAAATATCGAAGCCCAATGTATCAAAGCCGCGGGAAAAGGTCTCGACGAGATGGGTACCAACGTAGCCAACCCCAATGACGGCCACCAGAGGACGCTCAGCGCGAGTTATTGGGCTCGATTGCAAGTCAAGCTCAATCGTCTTGGACGCGTGCGTGTCTGTCCGATGAGGGGGCGTCAAGGGGGGTGAGAAGGCAGAGGCTGCCTGGCGCTTTTCGAGAGTCTTGTTAAGGGCAAGCGGCCGAGGCCCAAGAGTTTGTTGAGGCATCATGTTGATGGTGACAGAGGGAAAAGGAAACGAAGTTTCAATGTAAGTGAGAGATATTGACTCTTGAGTAAGTGAGGTAGTTGATGGGTGAGGATGGGAAGCAGCAAGTAGAACTCTCGGATGAGGCTGTTTATATGTTTCAATTGCTCTTTGCAAGACGAGGCTTTTTAATTTTAGACTTTGACATTAATTCAACCAAACGTACGACGAAAAGACGCTTTGAGAATGGTAAAAGCCTCATTCTGGAGACTTGCGAAGGTTTCTGAAAGCGGGTTATGGACTGTTCGCTCCGACAACAACGCCGACAGACTAGTGAAGCAACGGATGAGAAAAGAGGAGAGTACTGGTCTGAACGCATCACTTGAATCGATAAATGCGTGATACAGATGGCAAAGAGAGAAGTGGATTCAGGGAGACAGTACGAACCTTGCCGCGGGCCAGATGTCACTGCGGTAACGGTTGCTCTTTGGAAAGAGGCAAGTCGTTGTGAAAGTGGTTTAGGCGTGAGAGAAGGCGTGGCATCAAGAGTTACAGGGCTAGACAGAAACGTCTCTTTTCTGCCATGAAGGAAGCAAAGAGAACTGCTTAGCTGCCGGCTCGGACTGGCATCAATGGGTGTCAACTGCCCCCATCAAGCGGCTCGTTCTCGGGGCGGAAGATGGACATGAGGATCCGGGAGACTAGCAGACGACCCTAGCGATACTTCACATTGGGTGACAATGTCCGTAGCATATGGTCCGTAGTATGTCACCGTGGGTTAGTGATTGTCCCAAGTTCCATGGCGTGTCACTATTCGTCGGTGATGCTAGCCACAAACGGATCACTAAGATGGCCTCAGAAGAACACGCGAGGGTCCACTGACTCAAGCCGCACTCTATACCCACGTTAGGAACTGCCGCCGCGTGCCTTAAACATTGCCGTTTTCTGGTCGCGGGTGGCGCGTCCCACTGCATGGCAACGTTGAGGGCGTTCTCCGCATTCCATCTCCTCAAGAGGCGGATTTTGTCGAAACCCCGAACTCCGAAGCCTCGGTCACGATCGCAATGTCTGCTGTTATTAGCCTGATTGTTGAGACCACAGGGAACAGGGACGCGTGGTGTGGACGAGAAGGGTATTCGAGAAGGCACCGCCAAGGCGAGAGAGAAACTCAATGCCCGTATCCGCCATAGAAATGGAGCTAAGAGGGATTACGTTTGCCAACGTTAAGCCTCCTGTTCGTCTCAAATCTCAGCGAATAAACCGCTCATTACGAGCACGTTCCGCTTGATGTCTTGAGAAACAAATGTTTCTAGCCCTCCTGCGTTAGCTTACGCCATGACATCATGGCAGCACATCCAGATTTGGATGCCATATTGCTGATGTAAATCGCATCCATCGAGCACCACGATGCTGCATTCAGGTGCGTCCAGCCCTAAGCGAGGCTAAAGTGACAAGCGGTGGATCTTCCGTCTACGTGGTATGCATTGGATTGTAAACTTAGATTAAGCGCCTCTGTTTGGGTCGAGCTCCCTCCCAGACATGGCTTGGCTTCCGGCACACAGTCTGTAACGGGCCTAACGGCATGTCATTGCATCCACCTTTCCTCAACTCTAAGGTGGCAGTCAATTGTCCAGGACCGGCAAACTAGATCCAGTTCTTATGATCGATCATTTAGCATCATCTTCATCAGTCGTGAACGGCCTGTATCTTGTGGAATGTATTGCATTCCATTCAACTTGGGTCGCCACGAGCTGCCTAGTTCATACTCTGGCAACGTCTGATGGAGAGTTCAGTGTACTTTCATACAGATCGAACCAGGGTTCAAATCCATACCACGAAATCCACATATGGATCCATAATGTGGATCCATATCCATTCCATTCCATTCCACGTGGGCTTCAGCATTTCCATATCCACGCCACGGAGCCCCTTCCACATGTTCCACATGTGGAAATCGTGGAAAATTTTAGGTGGGGTTCGAAAATACCTGGATCTCCTTGTGAAATCACGCATATCCTAAGTACTTTCTATCACCCACAACGACACAACATCGATTTGCCACCCCGTTTTCCTCCGTACACAACGAGTCCATTCTGGGGGCTTCACTGTTACTCGCGTTACTACCCCAAATCGAAATGGCCACTCCCCATCCTACCAAGTCAACCACATCCGTTCCAGAACGAACAGAAGAAGACAATCAACGGCTCTTTCAGCTCTACAAAAGCTGGATCTTGACGGAGAGAGACGGCAAAGCGCGTCTATAGGTATATCGGTTCGGCTACGATATCCAGCATACCAAGAAGCAGGAACGTCGGTGGGTGTGTTGCCTTTGCGTCAAGCAACAGCGGATTCTAATGGACCAATGACAAAAACATTTGACGTCACCGAGGGACGGATACGACCCACTAATTACCATTGTTGGACGAAGTAGGTTTCCATTCCACAAATTCCACAATATGGATCCATGTCCACCCATTCCACACACCGAAATTATTAGTCAGCATCCATATCCACGCCATATTCACAAATGTGTCGTGGAGTGTCGTGGATTTGAACCCTGGATCGAGCCGTAACCGGCTGGTGGCAAACCTGGTAGCACGCTGACGCGGATATGGAATCTTCCTGTTGCCAAGACACTGGCTGTGGACGGACAGAATCTGTAGTTGACTGAATGCGGCTTTGAGATGAGGGCCATGATACAAGCCTTCACCGTCGCCTCATTGTTGGATGTAGCGTTGCCGCTGTTGTTTTCCTCAATTTTGTCTTCTTTTTCAACGGCGTGTCCCAGCTCAATGACCAGACAGCAGAGATGAACCAGCTCAGCAATAATCACCTTCGACAAAGCGAGTCAGACCAGGTCCTGGGCGATGGCACCCTGAAAGCCAAAGTCGTCGATATGGAGAACACAAAATGCGGCACTAAGTTCGAACCATTAGATACGACTCCTGTGCAAGTCAGTATCAAAAACCAAGACCTCGAGGCTCTGGAGAAAGACCATGACAACCTCTGCACCACATCAAACCCGGCACAGGAGATTCTTCCTCAGATTTGGGGCCGGGGAGACACTGTTGAATCATGTCAATACCCTGCCGTCGAAGACCCGATCAACCCGGCACGAATACTTACCAATGCGAACCTTCGAAAGCAGCGCATCATATTCATGATCCTGATCGTCATTTTGAACATCGTCATGGCGGTAATTACGATTTTTGCCAAAGAGTCGAAACTCAACTTGATTGTGGTTCTACTTTTCAAAAGCAAGGACTTCCTTTCGGCTCTTGTGTCCATGCTGGGCATGATTTTTAATGGCCTACGCCGTCAGGTCCGGCATCTGGAGCCTGTTTCCCAGCGCTGGATACTCTCTCTCATACCGGCCTACTCTGAGAGTGAAGAGCAGATTGTGAAGACAGTCTACTCTCTCCGAGACAACGACGTTGAACCCCATCGCCAAGTCATGGTGATAGTTCTTGACGGAAACCCGAGAGATGTACGATCACACATGACGAGGGTGGTGCGCGAGTTTGAACGCCCTTATATCAGCTTGAAGTGGAAGAGAGGCATTCTTCGCATCACGGTTGGCTTTATGGAAGATGTTCCGGTCATTGTTATCGAAAAGGTGCAGAATGCCGGTAAAAAGGACTCTCTCATCCTCTGTCACGATCTCTTTAACCACCCTCGCAAAAGCTCACCACTTTACACCCAGCTTCTAAGAGAAGAGATGTGGCAGGAGATTCTTCCGATCCTCACCGAAGGGCCCAACTTCAACGGGTTCGACATGGTCTTCTGCACGGATGCGGACTCAACCATCCACAAGGGTGCCATAGCCAGATTGGCCAATGCTATCGCACGAGACAAGCACGCCATCGCAGCTTGTGGCTTAGTTCTTGTAGAGTTGGAACCTGGATACGAATGGTCGTTTTGGAATCTCTACCAGCAATTTCAGGTCTGTAACCTCTACCGGATTCCCGGGCACCATACTTACTCGGCGCAGTATACTTATGGACAGTATGTTCGAAGACGAGCGGAAGGCATGGTGGGAAAAGTAACCTGCCTCCCCGGCTGTATTACGATGATTGCAGTCCGGGAAGAGATGGCAGGAGCAATAGAAAAGTATGCCGAACCAGTCACCGAGCACCTCGTGCTTCCACACCAAGTGCAGTATCTGGTGAGATAGTAACACCGCACAAGTTAAGCGACTAAGTGACGCTGACAAATTATTCTAGGGAACTGATAGACGGCTCACATATTCTATGCTCTCTCAGGGCAAGCACCTACGCACTCTGTTCGAACCTGACGCCGTCAGCGAGACCGTCGCGCCTCAATCGATTCAGCACTATCTCAGCCAGCGGCGAAGATGGGGTTCGAATGCATATTTTAATAATTACTTCTATACGGCCGGGAAAAAGATGATTCTCATAACTCGCATCGCCTCCAGCATCGAGGTCATGCGACTCAGCATGGTCTACTACCGAGTTCTCAACACGGCACTATTCATATGGTCACTTACTTCATCGCATGTTACCATCTTGCAGTTGGTTCCGATGCTCATAATCGGCCAACTCCCAACCCTTTGGTTCTTTTGTTCCATCGTCATCGAGGCCGAATTAAGAAAACGAGCGCACAAGCTTATAATAGGATTTCTTGTCAACAAAATGATCTCGCCATTCATGTCAACAATTATCTTTAGCAAAGTTGCGGCAAATCTAGGGAGTCAAGGTAGGTTGCCTCTGAAGAGTACACTCGCACAAGGTGCTAACATCTACAGCGTGGGGCATGTCAGGAGTGACGGCATCCACGGCGGTCCCAGCTGCCGATCCTCCTTCCGAGGAGAGTGGTCAAGAATCTGCAGATCTCTCAGCGGCGGAGAATGGAGAACGCCATTTACCCATAACAACAGGCTCTGGGAATGATGAGGAGGCCAGGGAGTCGGTGATGTGTCGACATGACGTAGAAACTCTGCGTCAAGACAATAATTAAAAAGTAAAGAACGAATTCGCCAAGAGTGGGCAATGAGTGAGGGATGAAAATGCCAACACGATGACGCAGCTGTGTAATGAATACTTTCCCACGGCTATGCCGCCGATGCCAGCTGACAATCAGCCGGACACTCTGTAAGAACACAACAGAGTCTCGAACAGTCTGTGGTCATTGCGACTCTCAAAAGCAGGCCGGTAGTAAGAGCTAGGTTAGTCAAGTTCACAATCACCCATTGCTAGTTGATGCCCATCCCTAGAACGACCATCACTTCTGGGATTTCCGAATCAGCTCAAGGGGCCATAAACAAGATCTTGAGCTGATCCTGCCGTCGCCGAAGATCATTGAACTGCTGCGAAAGGAGATCGATCAGTGGCATTAGTATGCTTAAAGTAGCGGATAGATTTTAATGAAAAACTGAGGTAGCTATTTTGATCAGATTTATTCCAAGCATCTAAACAATTTCAAGCTCAGTGGAATGTAATTTACAATTGCCTTTGTTTGACACAGAAATGTTAACTATATGACTGATCGGTCTCTCCGAGTTTTCCGCCCTTGCATCACAACCATCAGAAACCCAGAAACTCAATGCGACGGCCGCGCGATTCTTTCGGCAAACTCAGTTTGCCGCAGACGCCGCATTCTTTCTTTTCAGTCCCCTGCCAAGACAGCTTATTAATCTAAGTCACATTACTAGCAAACGTGCATGACGCGTTTACTGCCCGTAAAGAGCAGTGGTTGTGAAAGTCACTTTTAGCTTACCAGAGCTGCAATTCTGTGGCTCAATAGCGCACATCGTCACCACGCTAGGACCTTGCAGCATGCCAGACATCCAACTAGCCGGAATGGGAATGCCACCGAGGCTAGTATTAAACCGTTTGTCGTTCTCAATTCCTCCACTAAGAATGGCCGTCAATAGCTTATTCCGCCTTCTGCTGGGGAATGTGGGTTCGGGCAGTTGGGCATCGCCGGCAAAAGCACCCAGAACCGTTACGAACGTGGAAAGGCCAGCAACGTAATAGACTGATTCAGGTATAATAAAGTTGATCTAGAGGCACTAGATTTGCGACCAGGCTGCCCTCGACCCGGAGGATTATACAAGTTAAGGATAGTCCCTGTGGCCGACTGTTCTACACATGCTCTAGGATAGACTCTGGCAAGTAAAATGACAAAGAACTGTCTCCCTTGGCACAAATGGCACAGGTATCTGCCCAAATTCGTTCAAAAGAAAGGGTACTCGAGAAGTGGCGAACATGGCCTGTCACAGATCGTCACAGATCCATAACCTTGGATTGCACATTAGTGATCGGAATTGTCAATCAGGGCTAGAGATGCGGCATTGACGCTAGTTCTGATTGCGACCTTCTCCCAGATCATGAAGCCCTCGTCATGAATTTGAAGTGGAGAGTGCCCAGAGTGAGCTAATTGGTGTTCTCGTCGCGGTCCCGGTCGCGGTCAAAAAGATTACTCCCTGGCTCAATTGACGGCACAACGTATCCGAACGACACACTGTGCTTCCCATTCTTGCGCTTTCTAGCATATGTAAGCGTGGCTTCAGTCAACCTGTGACCTCATATGTCGTCCTCCCCGATCCATCATCATCTACCATCAGTAACGTGTACGCGCAAGTCGCAAGTCTGTCACTATGTTGCTCCGGGACAGACCTCTTTACGTCAAGCTTCTCGCCATGCTTTTCATCATCATAGTCTGCCTTGCCGTTATCTTAGGCCCCGTGCTGAGTCAAGATACCTCCTCGAATTCAACCATCAAGTGGCACAAGATCACCACGTCTAAAGGAGATCGACTACCAGACTTTAGCTTCAGCGGCTATCACGCGTCGAATCAATCGCTTCCCGACGTCACGAGCACAGCAACGGCTACGCTTGCTCCCGCCAAAGGCGACCAAACCCAGCGAATTCAACGGGCTCTCAACCAGACTGCGTCTGCAGGGGGTGGTGTAGTTGCCCTAGGAAAAGGCAATTTTACGATCTCCGCTGGATTGTTAATACCCAGTGGTGTGACGCTCCGAGGGTCCAGCCCAGCAGACACGAAGCTCATTTCAACGCAGCAACCAGTTGACCCGGTAATTACGCTGGGAAGTGGTGGGAAAACTGCTAAGCAGCTTGTCACGGCCAAGATAACCGATTCCTATGTCCCAATAGGTACATCAGTGCTAAATGTCAATGACGCTGCGGGCTTTAAAGTTGGTCAGTCAGTCTACGTGCAGAGAGCAGTGACGGCGAATTGGGTCCGCTACAACGGAATGAGTGACTTGGTTCGAGATGGTGTCAAACAAACTTGGATAGAGGTATGTGCCTCATATCCCTCCATTCTATGTTGTATGAGCTGACCAGTGCACGCAGGTCGGCAAAGTGATCCAGCAGCCCAACACCATCTCGTCTATTGATGGCACCAAGATCACCCTACTGTTTCCTCTCACAGACAGTCTGGATGCGACCTACATGGAGCCAAATATCATGGCATACACTGCGCCAACTCTCAACTCGGAAATTGGAATCGAGCAGCTTTCTATTTATCTCACAACATCCTGTTCAGGAAGCCCTGTTGGAGACTCGGCGTGCAATGGCGCCGCAGTCAGTTTCTCACCCTGGACGGTCGACAGCTGGGCACGTAATCTGACGCTGAAAGGATTCAACCAGTTCGTCGATGTTGAATGCGATGCTAGCCGGATAACGATTCAAGATGTAGCCATGTACCGAGACGCAGCCACCACTGGGGTTGCAATCCCTTCCGACATCTGGATCAAAGGCTCCCGGATTCTTGTGAAAGACTGTGGACAATACGGGCTCAAGACAGCTGAAGTATTCTCTGTCATGACGGGCTCGCTGACGCCAGGGCCCAACGCCGTCCTCCGCCATGTCACGCAGTCGACGGTCCAATCGATCTACCCACATCAGAGATGGGCGCATGGACTTTTAGTGGAGGATACTTCAGTGCCAGTACTCTTCGTGAACCGCGGCACCAAAGGTACTGGGCATGGTTGGTCAATAAACGGTGGGGCTGGGTGGAATCTGAGGGGACAGACTTCCTTCGAGTCCGCACCTCTGGGGATCAACTGGTGTATTGGCTGCAACGACCAAACAGGCAACGGGACTTATAAAAAACAGGACAAAACAGTAAAGCCTCAGAGTCTCTTTGAGTCTCAACTTGAAGCTAGAGGGTTAGCATAGTCTTCACACTCATGTATAATATGCTAGTCGACTGCTGCTGTCGGTGTATGAATATTGATGGGCGCTTAAGTAACAGGTCTTTCGTGACATACGCTGTATATTTTCCAAGAATGTTACATCTTCATCAGACTCGTCATCCTACACCACCAACTGTACTAGCTGGCTTACGTCGTCTGTCTTCAGTTATGTAAAGAATGGTCTTTTTCTCTCTAAGCCGCACTATAAAAACACTCTGCTTTACGAACCAAATATTATGCAAATTCCAGCACGACTTAGAGTTAACGAGCTCAATCTAACATGACAAGACGATTAGTGTTAGTGTTTAGCGTGGTTAAATTTTCTATTTGCGCTTACCTTATATGTTCAGATTACAGCAGGGACCAATTTATATATCTCTAGTAAGGATATATATTTTTATTACATGTTCTTAATGGTGTCAACTGTGATATAACGGATATTCCTATTGTAATGCTTTGATCTATCTTACGATGTTGAGCGATGCAAAAAAAAAAAAAAAACCCCCATACACATAATGGATTCCATGGCGATCATCAGCTTGCGTCTGTATGGCAAGTATTGAAAGAGGACTTCAAAGAGCGGGAATGGGATTCAGAAATCTCTCTTATCGTTCTGACCTTACTATATCTTTACTGGTATGTTCTTGTCTTGCTAACAACCGTCCGTATGCTCAGGCTGATTATATAGTGAACAACCGGATGTGACCAAGGTTTCTACTATTGGGCCCTTTCTACACCATATTGATTTGCCGAGTGACAACGAGCTTCTTGTCCAATCTGGCACGACCTTCACTCGGTTCCAGCTTTGCTATCTGTAGTACCCCGTCTAACCTCAATCTTCAATAACTGCACCTCTGCCAAAACAGTTTCCATGTTCGTCGCTGATAACCAATGACACAATTTTCGAGCCCCTTCTTGCGCCCTTGCCCAGTTTAAAGCTGCGAGATGTACAGCTTGGACTCTTCCTCCAAGTTTGAGAAACAAGCCACTATACGCTATTTGGAAGCTATCCAGGGATTGAAAAGGTCAGACAGGATGCGAACTATTGGTCGGCAAGTAACAATTGAAGTATACTTATGACGCGGACTAATAATTAGCACTAGAGATATTGATTATCTCACTCGCTTAGTTGAACTTGGCGGCCACGACGACATCTGGGCGAAACTTTCCTCTGGAGCCGCTGCTTTCCTTCGAAGCATCCGACCGCTTGAAGCTCAATTCCATTTGCACCTCAATAAACTAGAATTTAACCTACAGACCTTCTCACTCCCCGGCAGAGGCCACTCGGGTGCAGCCCTTGTTTTGAGCGCCCACCCTTTTCAACGATCTCATGGGAATTGAATCGCAACAGTTAGTCCAGTCACCTCACCTGATTATAATACACATATCATTTTCAACAAGCATCGCTAATCTGAATAGTGTTCAATTATGGTTCTGCTTTGCATAACTCGTTGGGTTAACCTAGTCCACGCCCTTCTCTTTAGGTAAGGAATACCCATCCGTCGTGAAGATTCAATAAGCTGATCCGAATAGAGTCGCACTATCCTTTTGGTATCAACGATTGCGACGATTACATTCCGTTGATTAATCAGCCACATCCTCACCACCTTGTGCAGCAAGATGACTTCATGCCAGTGCACTATAACGGTTAAGGCGAGGGTCACTTGAACAATGGCGATATTGCTGCTTGCTTCTCGTATTCTCAGGGTAATTCTGTGAGTGCTCAACCCCGGTCCGCCTGGAGATGCTGCGCCATGCTCGCCCCGCTGAGAGGGTGTAACCTGGCCTTGCTATGTCTTTTATGACACATTCAAATGGCCGAACAAAGCTCCACCATGCAGTACAGGGCCAATCTCACCCGTAATAGGCGCGGCTGTAAGGCTGAGCGATATCGAAGAATCATGTGTCTGAAACGCCAAGCTTACATCGACATTTCCGTGGCGCTTAACCGGGCAACAGTCATCTCACAGAGATCTGTGTGTCTGTTGATGGGCGTTTCAGGCTGCTGTCCAGATTTACACATAAATTACCAGGCAACTAGCGGCATCTGTGATCCCCACAGATGAAACAGCCAGACTCATCACCGTCTCCTATTTCAAGAGAGGGATGCATGCCCCACACACTCTCTGGCAAGCTGTTGCTTTACGTAATCACTCAAGTGTGAAATGTTGGTTCTCTTCATCGCCTTCGGACCAGCAACCAACTCAGCCAAGACATCATCTCGTTGCAAAAACATCCAAGCAAGTCTCCTCCAAAGCTTGCCTCACCTTGAGTGCTCATATCTTCGCCAAATGTCTCAAGTCACTTGCGGCCATTTCTCACATCCCTTCCAGACGAACTACTTCACGGGATTGCCTCTTTGTTGCCGAAATCTGCACTCCTACGCTTGCGACGTGTGAATCGCAAGTTTTCTTCCGTCGCTACACCTCACGCGTTCCACAGTCTCCGATTCCGAGCTTATGGAGACGAACCTGAGCGTTTCATGTGCATTGCCGAGTCAGAACAGCTTCGAGCTCTGGTTCGAGAGATCACCTGTGACACCTGGGTCGGTCCGGATTTCGAGTATCGACAGACCCGCCAGTACGAGGTTCTTTCGGCCTTTTTTGACGCGTTGCCGTTTATATCTTTGTTCCGGAACGTTGATACCCTGCACTTGCGGTTCGCCTACGACTGCGGCGATCACCCAGATATAGAGGAGACACCTCTGTTTCGTTACAGAATCCTCAGTACGGTCTTCTTTTCTCTCGCAGGTACTTGGTCGGAAGATGAGCAACGAAAAACCGACGAAAAGACCAAATTCCCAGCCTTCTTCAATTACCAGATGGGAAAGGTCCCAACCGATGCTCCCAAGTCTCCTATCCCGCTCAAGTCTCTCGCAGTCTCCAACCTGGAAGACTTCAACGACCGACGACTCACCAAATCAAAGGCGTTTAAAACAGTGCTGAGCTCACCAAGCCTTGTTGATCTTCGACTCTACATAGCGATTCATACAAACGGTATGGATCGGGAGCGCACCACGGAGTATGCTGAGAAATATGTCATGTTCAAGATTCTCCCCTCGACCTGGCTTCGTCCCAAGGCGCTGCACATCTTCAAGTACTATCCCTTTACTCTCACGAACAGTGGGGATGGTATCCGACGATGGACTTTCGTCTTATTGGAGCAGGCGGTGGAATGCCCAGTTTGAAGGTCCTAGCCTTGGGAAACTTCGTTTTTAGTCACGAATGGCAGATTGACTGGTTCGGGTCCTTGGGTATTGAAAAGTTTTACCTCGATGGGTGTGCTATTCTATTCGAAGCTGTTCGCTATATGAAGTTTGATCAGGGGTATCCTTTAAGAGGCACACTGCGGGCAGACATAAGCTCCGACGACGAGCCCCTCAGAGCGTCCCTTAGATGGCACACACTGCTTTCTCATTGGACAAAGTCTATGACCAATCTGAAAGTGTGTAATATGGGTGCATCGCCTCGGGTTGATACTCCGAGCGAAATTGTCGAGGCTGCTCTTGCTGGCGACCCCCATAGGTGCGCGAATCCGAAAGCTGCAGCTCAGCCTTTCCAGCACAACCAGTTTCGGTACTTTGATCGCCCTACTCTAGATGCTAGTGGGCGAGATATTTTCAGGCAAGGTACTGGTACCAGGATGGAAGATGGACAAGCTTTTGAGTACGTCTACTGGTTGGAAGGGTATGATAGCTATAATAGCGTATGGGAGGAGCGGGAAGAAGAACGAGAAGATATGGAAGAAGAGGAATGGTCGGAGTGTTACGGAGCAGAGGAGGCCCGGAAGCTTGACGATGATGTCAAAGCAAAGACCAGGCGGCCCTGGACCTACTCCTTTCTACAGTGGAGGGTAGGGGAATGGTTGGTAATTAAATGTCGGCGGCGAATAGAGCAGATTTGAAAGCACAAGTAAATTCTCACAGCTCTACGTACGGCGGGTGGGAGAGATGGCAGCCTCGATGACACCGACAATGTTGGGAATCGACAGACAGTTGAAGAGGGGCCACATGGCGAAGTTCTAGAAGCCTGTCGGGAAGGAGGGGAATTGGTAGCAGAGAGCGTAGTCTTTCATGTCGATGCGGACCAGGTCGTTGAGACGGGGAGCAGGGAAGCTGAGGATGCGGGAGACCTCCTCGGCGTGGAATAAGTTGGTGGTCTTGTTCCAGTGAATCCACATTCCTCGGAGATAGTCACCAAGGAGGTTGTACAGAGGATATCGCGAGAGGAAGGACAGGCAGTAAGGGATCCAGTAGGTCTCATCGGGGTTGTCGTAGTAGTCGTTCTCGGTCCTCTTGCGAAAGTCACGTATGGTCTCTGCCCTCTTCTCGTCCCCTCGCGACCACACACGGAGGCAAATGCCGTAGAGAGTGTGAGAAGATTCTTGCTGAAGAACGAAGGCGTGGTGAACGCAGTGAGGCTGGCTTCGGCCAGTGCAGATCTCGACATCGTGGGGGAAGCAGGACAGGATAGCCTCTGGTTAGCAAAGCTGTTTCTTGAAGGAGGACTGAGTAGTACGAACCCCCATGGCGGCATGAAGAGCACGGGCAATTTCATTGTCTTGCTCAAGACGCGGGCTGCTGCCCAAGATCTCTGGAAGCCAGAACTGGCCGACGGCACCCTTCATGTGGCCGATCTTGCCCTGAGCTGGGGGAGGAGCCTTGACCCATTGGGAGGGTTCACGGCCAACACCGCAGACTATGTAGGCATGAGTAAGAGTCTTGGGGGTGCGCTGCTGAGGCTTGAGGTTGAGGGTGGAAGGAATGGGCTGAGTGATGCGCGAGTGCACCGAAGATGTCCCGCTGGGAATCAAGAGGTTCTGGTCAGCGCCCTGGTCGCGGGTGCTGGGCCTGCCATCGCGGTAGCTAGTCCGAGGACGGGTGAATGAGGGATGAGTGCTCAGGGAGGGAGGCATGGTTGTGGCTGAGAGGATCAAATCCTCGTTGTCGTCGTCGATTCGAGGTATGAAATCGTCGTCGTCGTGAAGAGAGAGAAAATGCTGGTGTCTGTGCAGTTCTCTCGTAGGGAGTTGACTGCCTAGCTGTCTTGGTCAGTCCTCCGTTTCCTGTTCACCTTGCGTAGGTCTAATGTTCTTGCTCGAGGTCTCGTTCCTCTCTCAGTTGGTCATCCAAGACTCGACTCGATCGGCCTTGGGAGAGAGAACAAGGGAACAAAGAGAAAGAGTCAAAGTAAACAATAAGGGGAAGAAGGAAAGGTGAAGGGGGAAGAGTGAAGAGGTGGTGGGAAGTTTGAAGTTGAGGGGGAGTGAAGTAGAGTAGGAGAAAGAGCCAAGAGGAAGCAAAGAAGCGAGACAAGATGCGGCACCAGTCAAGGAAGGAATGGAGAAGAGGCACCACCGAATCTGTAGGTACCTTCAAAGTACGTACCGTATCAACTCGGTTAACTCTCCCAAGTAGCGCCTCCACTTTATCTCCATATTTCCACTGTTAACCGCAAAAATGTGCAGAAATGTCCATAAGTAACCGATTTCATTGGTCGCCCCATGTTTTTATGGGGGCCGCTACTTGGGCGAGATAACTGAGTTTCTACGGTACTTTTTCAGTTGAGCTGCTAAACTACTCCGAAAGCACGCAGAAAGGGACCAGAAGCAACAGACAGACGAGCAATGGACAGGCTTGGCGGGCGAAAAGATGAGACGGACAGCGGGATAAGCAAGAAAGAAGGATGGGGCCTTGGGCCTTGTTCCCTGTTCCCTCTCTTGAGATCGGCTAGTTAAGTAAGGTTTGCTGTATTTTAATGAGGTATATGGGCTGCAAAGGCAATGAAAGATGATAGCTTGTATCCATGTATCTCGGCTAAGAACTCGCAAGCCTATTGGCTGGAGATTTAACTATGGCTTTCTCGAAGGACAGAACTTTTGAGATGTGCCTGCGTAATAAGTCTCAAATTCCTTCCATTCTTCATCCCGATCTCTGTCTCTCTTGAGTCTTGTTCTTTTTGTCTCGCTCTCCCGTAGCGTGGCCACTTACAGGGGGGGACAAGTCCACTAGCGGGGGCATCACTCCCCACCTCCGGAAACCCTGGCCCAAAAGATTGTAGTGCCCGTCTTGGCCAATCGCAACTCAGGGATGCAAGCTCTGCTCCCCAACGTGGCAAATTGTCTCTGCCGATGATGCAGGGACCTGAGTTGGTTTTAAATGGGCTCAAGGTTCTCGATGGCGCATCTTTGTGCAAGATGATGAAGAAAGAAAAAGCAAAGTGCATTTTACATGGAACAATAGAGGCGTTGCTTACTGTTGTCGCTCGACGGCGGGCTGCGTCGAGGATAAGTGCCCGGAGCTGGACTCGGTCTTGCCAGGAGGCATTCGATATGCTCAAAAACAGTTTCACTTCAGCCCCAATCCTCAGACAATTCGACACCGCGAAAGAAGTGTTTGTCGAATGCGATGCATCCGATTTCGTGTCTTCGGGTATCCTCTCCCAGGAAGACGATCAGGGAGTACTACATCCAGTGGCTTTCATGCAGCGCTCCTACGACTTGCACAACGGCTGGGACAGCGACAACCCTTTCGGAAACCAGGTTTTGTCGCATACCAACCTGTCCGAAATCGACTACGCCTTGGACCAGGTAAGCGTCACTGAAAGACTTAGTATCTATCCGACACCTTTGACTGACACACAAATCTCTTGCAATTCTAGCGCATTGGCGTTGAGCCTTCTAGCATCGTACTCAGCTTGTGCTTCTATGACCGATCCTTTGAGCTCGAATCTTCTTCGTGTTTGGAAACCCGGCTTTGGTTTCAAGGGTCCTGGCTAATCCGTTCGCTGCAATGGCACGGCTGTAATTCTCTTATATGTCAGTAAGCAAGCATGGAGCCACTCCAATCCAGAAAAGGAACCGTATCTCTTACCACTTTCTAGTCAATCGAGACCATAGGAATACAGGATAAAACTGGCGAAATTCCCTACCAGTAATTAGCATTCGCTGGTTAGCGCGCTAGTTTTCTTCTTCTTCAATCAATACAATATGCACATTTCAACAAAGACCCCGTGGCCCCAGAAGCTAGAGATATCAGCAGACTGGAAGGAGGAGAAAGCCGTAATGCCCCAGACCGCATGGCTAGAAAGGAATGGCAGCTCCAACTATCTCTCGGTGGGCACACACCCTGACATTACATTCACATCCCAGAAGCTCAGCGAGGCGAATTCTGGCCCCATGCGACATCACGAGAAGGTCCTCAAGCACCTCCTTCGCTACCTTAGTGGCACCATCACGTTGGCGATCATCCTAGGCGGGATTACGATATTCACGACCTAGTCTATGCAGACGCTTCCTTCGCCGATGACTGGACTACGCGTCGTTCCACAGCCGGGCACACCGTCTTCATCGGTGACGGCCCCAACTTTTGGAAATCGAAGAAACTGACCATCGTAGCCACATCGCCAACAGAGGCAGAATTCATTAACTTGAGGCCTGCGGGAATGCCAGTGCTGTAGATAGCACAGGTGCTTCGAGAAACCGGGTACGAGCAGCCTACACCATGTGTGCTGTTCAGACAGCCAAAACGCCTGACTTGCGGTCCTTAACAAGAGAAATGCGGCTCGCACGAGGCATATCGACATCCGGTTCAAATGGGTCATACAGTGGACCGAGGAGGGTTATTTCAACCTGCAACAGGTGCGGTCGGACGAGATGATCGCAGACGGCCTGACCAAGGCGTTGGGCGCGGTCAACCACCATAAATTCGTCATTCAGCTTCGGCTGCGTGATCTGTGAGAAAAGGAGAGGTCAGCAAAGACATAAATAGCATCATACGGGCAAGAAACACCAAGGTAGAAGCGAAAAGCAACACACATAGCATCCTGAAGACCTCAGATTGCTGTATCCGGGCCTGCCTTAGATAGCTAGTGACACGTCATCAATACACACATTGACCTCAAAAAAAGCCATATCAACCATAAGATGGCCATCACAAAGCATATTTCTCAACCCTTCTCTACTTCTCCTTTTCCCAAGCCCTTCTCGCAGCTGGATGTGTCTCCAAATACTCTGCGTGCATCTCTTCCACGAAATCCTTCACCCTCCAAGCAAGCTCCCACGTTGACTGCTCAGGGGGGTATCCAACCCAGTGCACCTTGAATTCCAATTTGTCTTTAACCCTCCAATCGCAGATACCAAAAATGTGGAATAATTTTATTCCTGTTGCCTTCTCGCGGGTCCCACGTGATTTCCAGTAGCTGTAAAGCATAGTTGGGCAGTCTTCTTGAAAGGCACACTCATCGACGAGCGTGGGCTTGGAGTCACCAGCCCATTTGACCCTGAGCTTGACTTTGGTTCTTTTGTAGATGGTGTGACCGACGATTGCTTCGACTTCGTGTTTCGGCTCTTCCGTATCATCTCGCTGCTCCTCAGGCTCGGTCAATTCGGCCGTATGATCTGCGCCATTTGACTCCTTTGAATTGCTATTGTTCCTTTGCCCGGACGATTTCCTGCCTTCCAAGTGCTCGCGGTCCTTTCCGCCCCCCATCTCGCCTAGACGCGTCCGCTTTGTTTTTCTTTCGAGGTCGGGCGGATCATCGTACTCGCGAAGGGTAAGATCAGCTCCGTTGAGCCCGCGACCCGAAGAGTCGATGGTCTCATTTCCCATTATTGCATAGGGTGCAATTATGGTAGACTTGGTGGCAGAACTAAACTCCTGAAGTGGATTGTCTTCGTCAGGAAAGATAGGCTCGTCCCCCGCGGGGCAGCGCTCGGGACTCGATGAAAAGTCTAATGACGGGCTTCGCGGTTTAGGTTGTTGACGTCGGGTCAACGCATTGTGCGCGCTTGGCTTTGTGCGACTGATGGGTGAGGGCTGAACGGGTCGCAATCGATACAGGGTGCGCGTGTCGACTCCAGTGTCAACGTCCTTCCTCGTTCTGGCCATTGTGCGGCTCGAGAAGAGGCAGTAGGATTCAAGGTGATGCGACAGGAAACGATTGAGTCTGGTGCGTGAAATGGTGGGTCATTCGGCATAGCGATGAGAGAAGAGGTTTCGTAGTGGCGAGGTGAAGAGCCAAAAGTCGTTGATTTGATTGGGTAACGTTGTTGGCCCGGCCGGTAGATCATCGGTTTAATACGCGGTTAGTTGGGCGGCCAATACATGGACACCTAGGTGCCCAAATAAAGTCGCGCCCCGCGAGTGTACGGACCCGCGAACCTATGGGCTCCCCACCGTGTCGCGATCCTTACATAATACGCGTCATAGCTATGATGATTGGCTGACAGAAAATCAACTTTACCCCTGTCGTTTAAATCAACTCTACCCCTTGCAAAGTGGGGCCCGAAAAATCAACTCTACTACAGTTGATATTGTTATTGTACAGGAAGTATAACTTATAGAACTTAAAAGTATCTTATAGTATGATATCTCAGGATATTTATTACTCTATCAACAGTAAACAGGGGTCTGATATTTGCCCGGCGAAAGGTTTTATCGGGTTGACATTGAACGAAAGTCGGAGCTGGCCTCCGCTCGCACTGGAAGCTGCGGCCCCACCCAGCCGCGACCAATGTGCATCCACACTGCATAATTAATCAATGAAAGGTATGTCTGATATAAAGGAATTTTATGTAAAAGCTAATGTACCTTTCAGACCCTAGTTAATACGTTTCATCCCTGGCCGATCAGGACAGGGTTGCCGTTTTCAGTGCACGTAGAACGTGGGGCTGTTGTCAGGCCAACACACCGGATTTTGTCCTTTCCTGGCGAAACGTAAACAAGGTCACGTCGCCAAACTCAACCATGGAAGATGGCATCGCATCGCACCGCACCGCTTCAATTCAATCGAACCAAGTGCATGTCAAGCCATGAGTGACAATACCAGGGTTCTCTCTTGGGTTCAGAGCCTACCCGAGCACGTCGAATACATCCCTCTGCCATCGCACGAGCCGTGCAAAAAGCGCAAGCCCGCGACCGCACCAAGCTACCAACTCGCCAGTCCTCCAGCTTCCCTTAACGACGACGAAAATAAGATGACATCGACGCCAAAAAAGCGACGCTTAGAGGGATCAAGCGTACTGTTAGATCCCGATGCGACACCTCGCCCTGGTGCTGGCGCCAGAATGCGCAGCGTCGCAGGTTCTTCAGCTTCAATTTCCCAGTCGGCCTCCGAGACGAGCTCTGTCTCGGGAGCCTCTTCGCCCAAGAAGCAGATGATGAGTCTGCGGTTGAGCGAGACAGGTGTGGAATGGCTAGCACTTAATGAGAATACGGTGCCCGAGGTCGCGAGGACGCTGTTCAACACCATGGGCGAGGTGGGGCGAGGCCATGACATTTTACCGGATGTCTTGAGACCTACAATCACCGAGAAGCTCAAGGCTCGAAACATGGATCATCGTCGGTGGAGACATTGCTTCAAGCCTGCGGATGAAGGCGACGCTCTACCTGGTCGGATCCCGTCTATCGAGGAGGTGGAAAAGGTTCTCATGAAGGCCACCGAGTGTGAGAACTTCAAACATGAAGAGGCTAGTTGGAACAGTCAAGTACATCTACGTCTACTCGAAGGCATTTTTGAGGAGCCTTTGGGTGGACAGTGCGATGACTTCAATGCCGTTAGCTGGTGAGTACCATTGATGATGTAACGACAGCTATGCTAACTCTTTTTGTTACTTGTAGCACCTCGGCCCGTCCGCATCGAGAGTTCAAACCAATCTCATCTACGACTAAGATGATTGATATCTGTGTATACGCTTCACTCGACCGTAACGAAGAGTTGAGGGCAGCTATGACGGAGTTCAGCAACATCACGCCCACTATGGCCGTCAATCATACTGACTTTGAAACGATCCAACACCGCCCCCTTGTACTGAGTATCGAGACTAAGAAGCCCGGAGTTGAATGGGAAAAAGCACAACTGCAGACTGGTGTCTGGCACGCTGCGCAATGGGCCTTTCTTCGATGGGGCGTTGGCCAAAAGCTCCTTCGCCAGCGTCTAGAACAGGGCTTGGATGCACCAACGACAGATGAAGAACAAGAAGAGTTCAAAGGGGAGAAGCTTGCGGCCTTGTCCAAGCTTGGCTTCATCCCGGGCGTTATCGTCCAGGGAAATGGATGGCACTTGGTACTTTCAACGTATGAGGATGGCAAGACAAAATTGTGGACGGATTGGGTGTTTGGGACGACAAAGGGCTTATTGGACATTTATGCTGTGGTTGCTGGTATTCGAGAGCTTACCGCTTGGGCGAGAGACGTTTACTTGCCCTGGTTTGGGACGTATATTCTGGATTGATTCAGGTCTTTTGGCCTTTGTACGGGGACACTTTGGAAGATACCTGTTTGGATTACGGATTAATACATGAATAATGCGGTTGCTATGAATGAACATGGAGACAAGAAGACCGATCTATCAGGACTTATGTCCATTCATATCGAAATATGGGGGCTAAGGTCAAGTGGTAGGGCGGTGGTGGAGGGTACACTTTTTCCGAAAAGGCCGCACAAAGTCCACTACTATTTAAAGAGAATTATTCCATGATGATGAGATGTTTTCCGAGCATTGTAGCTATTTTATGGAATTAGTTAACTAGTTGGGTGTGGCATTCACTTGTCTGTGGCACTCGCTTTTCATGTACGTTAACTAAGTGAAATAGTTAAGTTTTATATGGCGCGTGGCTATTTTTGGTTAGCGAAAGGGTGGTAGGGCATGGTAAGGTCTGCATGCCGCTGCCTTGTCAGATAGGGGAGGCGGGGATTGGGTACTCTGTAGTCTCCCCGACAGACTTGCTCACGCAAATGTTATCATGACGAGCTGCCTCAAGCTAACCAAGTCAGGCCATCTTACTACTCCAAATGTGACCATTCCGGGATCGTGCGTATCTGCTGCCACATATACTTCTCCAACTTGTTGGTACACTTCACATACAGCGAATGCTCGCCATTGAATTGCCGACAGTTGCCGAAGATGAGCTGGGCGTCTTTGATGAAATCTTCAGGTGTCATGTACTGCTCCGCTTCCAGCTTGGCCTCCATAGTACTGAGGTCCATTGGTTCCTTGATGACTTCATAATAGTCGGCGACGTCGTCCTGGCTGACAGGCTGCGAGAATGGCCACGATGATTGATGGTTCTGCAAGTTATTTAGGAGATGTAGCAGCTGCTTATAGTTCGGGCCATGACCCGATTGTCTGGTCAGCTCGTCCATATCAAGTGACCAACCCGACGCCCGGATTGCGTCGATGGATAGGGGATCAATGGGAACAACGCCGTTCTCCCACTGTTTCGGAGGTTGATGGACCACGTGACTCTTACTAAGAGCCTGTATCTTGGCATGGACGCATTCTCTGCTTGAGGAGCATGCGGCCTAGCTCCAGGTAGCGAATCCTTGGGAGCATAGAGCACTGCATGAGAGTTCCGCCCTCATAGTCTTTTATACACCCCTTCCAAATCGAGTCATCCAACGTGATCTCCTTTGTAAAACCCTGTTTCTTGAAATAGCCGATGGCCAAGTTGTCCGCGTAGGTCAGGAAATGCATCATGTTAGATGCAGTGATCGGAATGGTCCGGTAAGTTATGGTATGGTATGGAGGTCAAACCATACCATACGGGACCCAATAGAGCCACGGGTCCGTACACTCACGGGTCCCCTATTAGTCAGCATAACCCTAACCCTCTGCCTTGCTGCTTTATTTTCTTATAGGCTACTTCTATATCGTAACGGACAAGACCCTACACCTCTTCTATGGCCTTGTATATGACATTTGCTACATGTAGGTAGTCTTTTTGCTGGCTTATCTTGCGGCTCATCTTGCGGCTCATCTTGCCCCTTGTCTTGCCCCTTGTCTTGTCGCTTGTTTTGTGGCTTGGCTTGAGGCTCGTCTTGTGGTTCGTCTTGTGGTTCGTCTTGTCGCTTGTATTGTGGTTTGCCTTGGGGCTCATGATTGTGTTGACAAAATCGTGCTTCGGTTCGATGTTTAAGAAGCCAATTTCCACTCCATTCTTCCTTGGCTACTATTGAAAATTGGCAGCCAGTGCGAAATCGATTGCATGCGTAGGTAACTGTAAGTCGACCAGACCTTTCTGTAGGTAGCATCTCAACAGAGTACCTTCCCTTATACTCTGTCTCCCGGAGCTGCTTCACCGCCGATTGTGCTTTGTCAAACCACTTCTGTTTTTCTTCGTCGCCTTGGAGAACCCATTCTTGCCTGAACCATGCCCACTTTCGATATGGATCGAGTATTTGAGCTGCATAGTACGCTGGTGCAGGGTTGGACATCTTACGAACGGGAATCGAATCGATAGATTCATTCGATGCCAAGTCTTACGAATGTCGAATCGAATTTCTTGGCGTTCGATTCGCATCGAATCAAATGGGCGCACTCCATTCGATATGCGAATCGAACATGCCACATTTCATTCGACATCGAATCGAACGGCGCTAAGCATTCGATCGATTTTCGATCGATTCGGTCGAACAGGGCTCCCGATTGCAGAAACACGTCAGGGGGCCTAAATTTTAGCGTAATTGATCGACGCGTTAAGAAGCTACTGGCGCGATCTTACGTGACGACCCCAGTACGCTGCATCGTTCGCCACGAATCTGTCTTGTTGCTAAGATGTGTTAGTGAGTACGTCTATCCTCCCCGAGAGATCTATGGCGCAATAGGTACCTTGCAACTTCACTCATCATCCCGACAACCCACAATTGGATGTTTCATAAAAGTTCGAAGACAATCCATTTTGTAGCTTAGAATGAGGCATCTAGTCGATTTCCATGAAGAATATACGATTTGGAGGAGATATTGAAGTGCGAGTTATCTTAGCTGCAAATTCCAACTTGCAAAGTCAGGAGGTACTGGCACTACCATTATTACGGAGGCCAGAGCTGCAGTAGCCTCTAACACAATTGTATAGGGTAGGTCGACACCAGTAACATGGCGGCGCACGCAAGGCCGAAATATCCCAAACATACGCCGCTTTTTCAGCAGAATCAAATGAATGCAACTAAAAATTAGTGCCTCTAGATTCTCTCACCGAGAGCTTTCTATTATTGCCAATCTTGGCATGATCAGATGAATATTTCAGACTTGGACTTTCATATATTGACATATATAGGACTCATAGTCTTCCTTTATTCATCCAATGGTCCCTCTTTGTCTCGGGGACCTGCAACCAAACCAAGCCGTACCCGTGAACAGAAGTACTAGCGACTTCGTAGGACCCTCGGAGTGCTTTCATTTAGAGCCTCAACTTCAAGTGCCCACCGTTCCACCTCACGTGTTCCAGTTTACGGAGAGCTCAAGAATCCGTTCTCAATTGACGCCAGATTGGAATGAGACCAAACGTGAAAGCCGATACGGGCAGAAAGACTGGGCAACGAGGGGATGAGACTTTTTGAGGCGTGTGCGCAGTGACGCGAGCCAATAGGGGCCTTGGAACCAAGAGGAATAGGGAATATATGGAACCTGGCCGCCGGAAAGCTTGCCTTTTGGCCCGGGGTCTGTGGACCTGACCAACAAGACCTGTGAATTGGTTGGTTGCGAAGCGCGGGGAGGTTTAGTAGATCAACACTTGGAAGAACCCCCTCCGCCAATAGCTGGAACAAAGGTTGACTCCTTCGCTACGCTGGCGTCTTCACGCGCGACTGCTTCGGATTGGGACGCGCCATGTCGTCACTCGCACTGGTGGTCAATGGCTCATTCATTCTTACAAGGCTCGGCAAGTTCAACGGCACTGACGACTCGCGAATTTCGCGTTGACGACAACATGCGTGTGATACACGCGTGTTATTGGCCTTACACACCTGTGCAGCGATGGATGGATATTACTTGACCCTCCGCACGCAGCCTCAATGGCTTCCAACAACATCGTTCAGCTCACTCGATCCGTACGGCCGACCTTCCCGTCTAGCTAACTATGTCACGATGTCCTCCGAAACATTCTCTTCAAACAGCCCATTCTCCGATCAGCCAGAGGCTATAGAGCGCATTGAGTTCTCTTCGTCTTCGCCGGCTGTCTCGTCGCCAGCATCGTCGTTGCCAGCGACACCATCGCCCCGTCCTCGCGGGACTGCCGCCGACTTTATCAAGGTCGATTGGACACTCTGGGGCCGCCAAGAGTGGATGAAATGGCCAGGATTCGAGCGCTATACGGGCGGCCAAGACACGAGGGCGTGGTGGCAGGAATATGGGTACCGCGTTGAAGACCATTCCACCTGTCGACAGGGCAATAAGTTGAAGTGGATCTGCGCAGACTGCTTCGCGCGAGGTTTCAAGAAGAAGTCGGATTTCTGCTTCGTCTGCTCGACAGGGGCCTCTATCAAGAAACACCTTCGCGCAGCCCACGGGATTTTGGTATGTCCCCTGGTCCGCGGCCCGTTGATATGCTGATTTAAAAGGGCCCGAACCAAGCTGCCCGTCGCGGGGGAGGCTCATTGTTGCATAACCAGACTATCACTCATTTCCTCGACGCCGACTTCAATAACCCTAACGATCAGTTCCTCCTCAGCAACCTGCGTGGACAATTCAACGTCAAGGGCCTTCGAGTTCTTCTTCTCGACTGGATTACGTACCACAACTTGCCGTTCGAGATAGTCAATGCTGAGCGATTCCAACGGATCCTGCTTTACGGCAACCCACTCCTTGATAAGGCCCATATTCCCTCTGCGAAGACTCTTCTTCGCATGCTCGAATCTGAGTATAGAGGCGCCGTTGGGCCGGTCACTGAAGTATTGCGCAGTGCTCGATCCCAAATCCATTTCTCCTTCGACGGCTGGACGTCAAAATCATTCGTCTCGTTCCTTGGAATCAATGCTCAATTCGTCGATCGCGACTTCGTCCAGCACCGAATCCTCCTCGGACTTCGACCTCTCACTGGGCGACACACCGGCGCATCGCTTGCCGACGAGGTAGCGGATACTCTTGCATTCTGGCAAATCAATGACCCTGACAAGATTGGGTACTTCACTCTCGACAATGCAGCCAACAACAACACGTGTATTAGGGACCTTGCATTCGAATTCAGCTTCTCTCCTGAAGAGCGACGGATTCGCTGCGCTTGCCACATCGTCAACCTCTGCGTGCGGGCACTGCTGTACGGTTCCAAGCGGGACAACCTGGCTGCAATTGTCGCAGCCGATGGCGACGATCAGGACGACGATGAGGGACGGGTTGATCAAGCTATCAACGAGGCACTGAATGGAGAGATGGAAGACGACGAGGACGAAGAGATACAGCCAGACGTTGCTGTCAGTAGCCCTGATGAAAACTTCACGTCGTCCCACCCGGCTCCGGAAGAGATCAACAGCACCACGTTCAGGGAGTACAGCCAGAACGGCGCCCCGGGAATGCTTCACAACGTCGGCCTTCAGCTACGAGCGAGTCCACAACTGTATGAGCAGTTTCTTCAGTCTCAGCGCAAGGAATCTGGCAAGGAATTAACACTCCACTGGGTCTTTAACAACGCCACTCGATGGGACTCGGACATGCGTATGATGGAAAGGGCCCTTCGTCTCCGCCCAGCACTTAACACATTCTTCAATGACGTTCAGAACCGCTGGGAAGCTGAGGGCGCCTGTGAGAATGCCAAGCCCGTAGTTCTACAGTATCGGCTAAGTGGGTACGACTGGAAGATTATCGAGATGCTGGTCAAGCTTCTGAAGCCTTTCGAGGTCGCCACTAAGCAGCTTCAGGGCAGCGGTGTTCCCGGCGTGAGATCGACTTGTGGTAGCTTCGACGAGTACTTCCCTGTCTTCGAGATGCTCCTTGACCACCTCGAAAGTGCTATCGAAGGTATAATCTACGAAGAAGTTGAGGATCCGGTGAGCAAGAGGAGGAAAGACGTCGAGGTTGCCATTTACGCGGGACTTGATAACAGAACTCGTAAATTGTTTGAGGTTTTTATCAAGCTCGGGTGGAAGAAGCTTCATAAGTACTATGCCCTTCTGACCAGTGCCGCATATGTAGGCGCCGTTGTCTTTAACCCTGCGAAGAAGTGGCGTCTCCTCGACCAACTGTGGTCTCGAGTTCCTACTCGCAAGGCGCAGGGTTGGCGAGCCGACTACGAAGAGAAGCTATTGCAGATCTGGGAGAACAGCTACAGTCAACGCGACGTTGATAACGAGGTCCTTGCTACACCTGATGAGGCCTCAATGGATTACATCGAGCGCAGGCTTGCCAGGAGTGTCGCTAGCTCGGCATTTGCCACGACTTCACCTGCCACCGCTTCCAACCTCCGCAAGACCACACGCAAGGCAAAACAGACGACCACGGCGGCAGCGATTGATGATGAATATTCCAGGTACTGCGCCGAGGATATCGTCAACAGTCAGTACTACAGGAGCAGACCAATTGACTGGTGGAAGACCAATGCTTATCGGTACCCGCGGCTGTCTACCATGGCTGTTGATATGCTCAGTATCCCATCGTCGTCTGCAGAGAGTGAGAGGACGTTTAGCAGCGCAGGGCTTATGATGGCGCCGTTGAGAAATCGGTTGGGGAGGGAGATAGTGGCTATGGGTCAGTGCATTCGATCGTGGAGT